TTCAGCGACTTCTCTACCTGTCAGTGCAGGTTTAGCAATCGCTGTACTTGGAGCTATCTGTTTCTCTAAAGTTTCTTCAGTCTCGTGAGATATCGTCTGAGAAATTGTGATAGAAGTCAATTCTTCTATATTTGGTTTTCCTTTCTGTTGCTCTGGTAAAACAGGTTTATGCAATTCTTCTACGCTAGTCACTGTAAGAACTTGACTAGTTTCAGCAATCTCTCTTCCGAATAATGCAGTCTTAGCTGTCGCTGCACTTGGAGCTACATGTTTCTCCAATGTCTCTTCAGTTTCATGAGATACTGTTTGAGAAACCATAACGGATGTCAATTCTTCTATATTTGGTTTTCCTTTTTGTTTTTCTGGTGTACGATCAGCTATTAATTCTTCAGCAGCGATCATAGTTAATATCTGAGTTGTCTGTGCCACATCGTGACCAGTCAAACTCGACTGAGCAATTTTTTCTGTCGGTACTTCAGGACTGACTAACACATCCTCCGTTTCTGTGAAAATCGTCTGCGACACGGATAAAGGAACAAATTCCTCCAATCCAGGAACACCTTTCTGTTCTCCAGGCTTTTTATCTTCAGCTAAAGTGTCGATATTTGCCATAGTTAATATTTCCATCATTTGTGCTACGTCTCTGCTTATTAAGCTGGGTTGGGCTTCTCTTTCGACCGGTATTTCTGGTGTAGGCAATGTTTCCTCCGCTTCTTGAGAAACCATTTGCGAGACAGTTAAAGATGCCAATTCCTCCACTTGTAGCTTACCTTTCTGTTCTTCCGGAGCTTTGGATGCTACGAGTTCCTCAGCACTAGCAACAGCCAATACTTGCATGATCTCTGCAACATCTCTTCCGGTCAAACTTGGCTGAGCTGTCTTCTCTTTTGGAACTTCAACCATTAGCAATGTTTCTTCTGCTTCTTCAGATACCACATGTGAAATTGTAAGAGGTATCAGTTCGTCTAATTTAGGTTTTCCCTTTTGTTCTTCGGGTCTCTTCAATGTAAGGTCTTCTGTTTCCGTTATAGTGGTTATTTGAGATGTTTCTGCGATTTCACGGCCTAAAATATTAAAGTTTGCTTTTTGATCTTTAGGCGTGGTTTTCAAAGCAAATATATCTTCGGTTTCATTAGAAATTACTTCAAAAATTGTGACGGAAGACATCTCTTCCATTTCTACCTTGCCTTGCTGTTTTTTCAATTGAGTTACTTTTTCGAATTCTTCAGTAGTCGATGCAGCAATCACTTGTGTTATTTCCGGAATTTCTCTGCCTGTAAGACTAGGCTGAGCCTGTTGTTCTTTGGGAGTAATTGTTGCTGGTAAAATATCTTCAATTTCATTAGAAACAATTTCCGTAACAATGACAGTGCTAAGTCCTTCCATTTGAGGTTTGCCTTTTTGCTGTTCAAGTTTAAAATCTTTTCCTTCAAATGTGTCTTCTTTTTCGCCAACAGTTGTCTCTATTTTTACAGCTGTTTCTATCATAGTTTGAGCCATCGTAGCTTGAGATGATATCCGTTTCTCCTCGTGAATTTCCTGAATATTCTGAATACTTTCTACTAAAGATCCAATCACGGTTTCATGCAAACTGATGTCCTGGATAGCTTTGACCTCTTCTCGTTTAGGTACCACATCGAAAACACTTTCCTTGTCTTCCGTGATAGTCTCTGACACTTGAAGAGATGTCACTTTTTGTATATCGATATCTGCTTTTTGAGTTTGAGGTTTGAATACACCTTCGAATGTGCGCTCGCTTTCTTCCACTATGTTCTCATTCACTATGATGCTTTCGAAAGTGTCTTGTTCAGGAATAGCTACTTGAGGTTTCATGCTTACTTGTTCTATCTTATCTGGTATGCTAATTTGAGATTCGATCATAGTTGTTTCAACGATATTACGTTCCATGATAAGAGTACTATTAGCTGTCTGCGAAGTATCCAGTTTCTTTTCTTTCAGTACAGACTCCGCTTCCGCTGAAGTAACTTCTGTTATCGATATTCCATGACCTTGTTCGAACGTCTGCATCGCTGTAGAGAAAACTGTTCTTGGATATTTGTCAAAAACTCCTTCACTTTCTGCGCTTGGGATTTCTTCCACAATAATTGGTTCTAGAGCATCCTGTTTATGATGAGCTTGAACCTCATATTTCTCGAACGGCTGAACCAATCCAGTGCTCTGTTCAATAAATACCTGAGCTTTTTGTGCTACATCCATTCCAACCTTTGTTAAAGTCATTTCCGCTGTGCTCTCTTCACGTTTTTGTATAATCATTGTGTCTTCCTTGTCTTGAGAAATAACGTGAGAAATATTGACACTCTTTCCTTCAACGAAGCTCACTTTCGCACTTCGTTCGTCCATCTTCATTTTCTCCTCGAATATTGTGCTATGTTCTTGCGGAACAGTCTCACTGATATCAACGCTTTCCAATGTAGTCTGCGTTGAATGAGCTTCGAATGTTGTTGGTCGTGGTGTTACAGGTAAGTCTCCCAATCCTTCTCTGAGACTTACCTCCATTTGTTCAGCAACTTCTTTACCCTCCATCGATGATTTTGCTATTTCTTCTCGAGGTTTCTTAATTATTGACAGTTCAGCTTCGACATCTTGTGCTGTGGTCGCTTCTGTGATAGCGATAAATCTGTTTTCGTCTATGGCGATTCGAGCACTAGTCTTCTGCAGTGATATTTCCTCGATCTTGTCTACTTCTTTTTCTGCCAGCACTTGTTCTGTCATCTCGATCGTTTCGAATGGTTTTTGACCTACTTGTGCAGTGGCTGTAGTAGGTTTAATGATGTCCATTTCTTTAGTACTCAAATGTGGTATAATTTCAGATCTTTCCGCTACTTCGTGTCCAGAGACAATAATCGGCATTACTGATCTTATTCTTTCTTCTTGGATTGTCTTTAATATCTCTTCTTTATCGGCTGCGCTAACTTCGATGACACTAGTCACATGTTTGCCTTCTTCGATAGATACTTCTACCTTTTGAATAGTTGGCTTAAACTTTCCTTCGAAGGTATTTTCTCGATCTTGAATGATGTCTTGCGTGACCAGTAAGCTTTGATATAGTTCTTGACTGGTTTGTGCTTTTTTGATGTCTGGTTTCTCTAATTTCACTTCACTTATTGAATCTTCTACGGAGATGGTAGTTGTTTCAGCAATTCCATGGGTGGTGTCTAATCCAATCGAGGCTGCATGCTTTGACGGCTGTTCTTCAGAAATGTATAAAGATTCTTTATCTGCTGGAGTTATTTGAGACACAGTTACGATTTTTTTACTCTCTTCAAGATCTATAATGGCGGTCTTGTTTTCTGGTAATTGACCTGATATGAATTTGTCCTCGCTTTCCTGTATAATTGGTTGAGATTCTATTAATGAAATGAATGGAACATGTTCTGATACAGCAATAGCACCTGATGGCTTTTCTTGAATGAATTCTCCAGTGCTGAAATCTACAATCTGCATAGTCGTTTCGGCTACCATATGACCAGAAACCAGGTTCTTTCCAGCAGTCTTTATCTCTGGTAAATTTTTAGACTTGTATTCTTCCTCTTTATCTTCCAAGATCACGGTTGACACTTCTATACTTTGCTCTTCTACTACAGATAAGTCTGCTAGAGCTTTTAATGGTTTTTTGTCTTTGATAAACGGTCCTTCAACTTCAGTTGGTTGAATTTCCGAGCTGATCACAGCTTCCAAAGGAATGCTAGATGGCACTGCTAATGCGGAGACCGGTTTTACTTTTTCCAATTTACCAGCACTGGAATCGACAGTCACTTCTGTCTTTTCCGCAATCACGTGTCCAGCGAATTGTACACTAGCTTGTTTCTCAGATGGTTTCTCAGATATCTGAAGAATATCTTCTTTATCACCTAGAATCTCAGTAGTAGTCGTTGCACTGATGATTTCATTGACAGAAACCTCTGCTTTATTAGTGATTACAGGTTTATTCTTGAATTCCTTCTCAGTTTCAGATACGATGGTTTCTGTTTGAACGATACTTTCAAATGGTAATCGTTCTTCCTTGGCAGCTACTGTGATTGGAGCAGGTACAGTTAAATCTTTAGAAATAGCAGCTGGATTGATTTCTGTTAATTGTGCAACTTTATGCGCATCAAAGCTTGCAGTAGCCTGTTCTTCTTGTATTTCTAGCTTTTTGAAGTACTCTTTTTCTTTATCTGATGCAATTGTTTCAATAACTGTTATTCCTTCTTCCTCCTGAAAAGAAACATTGACCATTTTTTTGTCTGGTTGAACGAAGTCTTCCATTGATTTTTCAAGATCACCAGTAGCTGTTTCAGATGTAATCACACTGCGGAATGTGATATGATCAGTTGTAGCTGTAACTGTATGCATTTCTTCTCGTTTAAACTCGCCTACATTGTCTGTAGTAGTAGTCTCGATGGTCTGAGCTACTAAATGCGTTGGAATGTCGAAACTGGCGGATTTGGTTTTCGGTTTTTCAGTTTCTGGAAGTAGACTCTCCTTATCTTCAGTTGTAATCGCTGAAATAATCAAACCTTCGCCTGTCACAAACTCGAGATTCGCTTTCTTATCGTTAGGTTTAATCTTACTGAATGGTGCCTCTGTTTCTCTCGTCTGTACTTCTTCAGCAATTGCAGCTTCGATAGGTAATATTGTAGTTTTAGGTTTTATCTCTTGAACTGTTTCATGCGGCAAATCACTCAAGCCTGTGTCACTCAAAATTTCAAATTTGGATGCTACTCCTTGCGTGATGATATCTACTGTAGCTTCTACACTTTTTGGCTTTTCTTCTTGAGTGAATATTCCCTCTTTATCCTCAGGATGCGTCATATCTACCACAACACCCTCCCCTTCTTGGAATGTAACTTCAACGTTTTTGATATCAGGTCTCACGTCTTCTTGAAGAGGAGACTCTTTCTCAGAGATTGATATTTCTGTCTGCTCTACAACTTCTAATCCACTTTGTTGTTGATTAGCGTGCTCTTCTTTGATTTTTTCTTCCTTTAAAATTTTAATATTACTTGCTAGAACAGTCTCCTGCATTTCAGCTACCTCGTGTCCTTCAGTGATACCCAGTACAACTTTTCTTTCTTTTGGTATCTTCTCTATTTCTAATTTTTCTTCTTCCTGGATACTTGTCACCTCGATCACGGTTAATTTTTCGGTTTTCGATTGAATTTCAATCTCTGCATTTTGGATAGTTGGAAAAATATCTGTTTCTCTGGTCTTTTCAGTCTCGGCAATAGTTGTTTCTGTCACAATCAATTCTTCCAAAGCATCTCGTTGTGGTATGGCCTTTTTTGATTTCGGTTTATCGATGCTCATGTTAGCAGTACTTTGTTCCACCAAAGTCTCATATTTTAATGCAACTTTATGACCAGATATTAAAGTTTCAGCGGTATAATCTTGTGGTTTTACATCAGGACTGTATATATTCTCACGATCATGAGAAATAACTTCAAGAATAATTGGACCGGGTATAGGCTCGGTCAATTCGACAATCGCAGTTTTCTTATTTGGCTGTATTTCAGTTGTGTACAAATCTTCCTTTTCTGCCAATTCTTGCATAGCAATTGTTACACTTTCCAATGGAACGTGCGATGGTTGAGCCACACTGGAGATTGGTTTCTCTTCCGAGATATATTCTTCTGTCGGTGAATGAGTTCTAACTTCTTCGAATACTGGCGCCACCTGTGTAGTAAATTCTGTAGTAGCATAAGCTCCTTTCACTTCAGAAATCTCAGTATATTCAGCTTCTTTCTCGCTAGCTATCACCATTGTGGTGCGTAAACTTTCAATCTCATTCATTATCACTTCGGCCATCTTGAATTCAGGAACTTTGTCTTTTTGAACCGGTGCTACGTCTTCAACGATCACAGTTTCACCTATTATGGTTTCTTGCAAAGCAATAGGTTCTATTTTAGCGATACCAGATGATGGAATTTCCTTTTTTATCATGCCTAAATTATCTTCCGGTTGAGTCATTTCGATCTCCAATGAAACAATAGGATGAGTTGGTACTGCCTTTCCACGATGAGATTCTGGCATTTCGAAGATCTTTAGATCAGCTTCCTTCTCTATGGATGTAGTTTGGAATACTTCGACACTTTTAATTGCATCGTAGCTTGTATCTACAACACGTTCTTCTGGTTTTACTAATTCCTCCATCTTTGCTTCACGATCATGGGTCATAGTTTCTTGAATCATTTTAGCCTCTATTAATTGTACAGCAATTGTTCCACTTTCTTGCACGTATTTCAATTCTTCCTTAAAATCAGATGGATAATCCGCTGTTTGAATCTCAGATATCTGCACATATTCTTCAGGTTTGATAGAAGTTTCTGCCAATACTTTGGTTGGTTTCTGATCAGGATGATATATTCCTTCAGACTCTTGAATGATAGTGCTCGCGATGGAACCAATTTCCAACAAGGAAATAGACATTTCAGCCGTTTTGATAGCTGGTTTGTCTCCGAGTTGATATTCTTTCTCTTTCTCAGATGGCACAGTTTCACTCGTCACTGCTGATGTGATCTCAATAATATTCAAATCAGCCACTGCCTTCTTCATCTCTTCAATTGTCAAGTCGCTTTCTGTATCTTGAGTTTGAACTGTGGACACGGAAACTCCTTCAAGTACAGTGACATTGGGCGTAGCTTCAAAAGTGTCAGTTTTTCTTTCTGAAATAAATACTCCTTCGCTTTCCTGTACGATATTTTGCTGAACTATAGCAGTTTCGTTTCCATAAGATATTCCAACTTGTGCTTTCTGACTAGGTGGTAATCTTCCTGGAACATACATGCCTTCCTTTTCAGGTGCGTGCATTTCCTCAGTCACTCGTTGTCGTTGAGGAATTACGGTCTCAGTAGCGACCTCTGTCGGAACTACAAGTTCTGGATAATACTTTCCTGGTTTGTCCTCTGCTCTAACCTCTTCCACGAGCAATGGTTCAACCGCAGTGACATTCACTCTAGGCTTAGTCGGTAAAGTCTTCAAGGGTTCTAATTTATCTTCCGTTAATCCTTCCTGAATCTCGTACACAGACAATCCTATTTGAGGAAGGATAGTGTCTTCTGCTCTGACAGTCGATGGTGACACGAAATCTTCCGTTGGAGCTTCCTTTTGACTTACCATGGTTTCATAAACAGTCGTGGCTTCCTGAAGAGTCACACTAACGTCTGCAGTTTTACTGATTTCCTGTTTATTAATGGTTAAACTGGATAATCCAGCATCGTTGGCCAGAGTTTCGCTGACTACCAGACTTTCGGATGGCACGATACCACGTGTCGCTTCGTAGAATGTAGGTTTGAAAGTACCCACGAATTCGCCAGTAGAAGCTTGGACGGTTGTTTCCGTGATGGAGTAAGGTTCCATTGGCGAAATGGACAAGGATGCTTTTCGTTCTATGAGTTTAATTTGGCTAATATCATCGATTTCTTTCTCCTGAATAGGAATCAAATGCTCGGTTAACGGCGTAATGGTGTCCATTGTTAGTTTAGCTTTTTCCAATTCCGGTTTATCAAGTGCTTGCTCGATAGTACGATCCAAAGGTATTATCTGATGACGTTGGCTAGGAACATTTAATATGAGGGAAGGCACAGATCTGTCTTCCTTTATCTCGAACTCTTCGATTTCTTCCATTTCAACCTCATCTCGTCCAATACGAGGTCTTTTAGGTATCAATTCTTTTCTCTCTTTTTCTATGATCTCTTCTTCTTCCACATCCACGCGTTTCTTTTGTTTCTGAGCCAGTTTGCGCTTCGAGTCTGTCTCAACGATAATTGTCTCGATTTCTTCCTCAATCTCTTCCACATCCTTTTTCTTCTTCCTCCCGGTTTCGGTTTCCTCAATTTCCTCGATCTCTACAACCTGAACCCCCTCGTCCCTATCTTCTTTTCTCTCCTCGATTTGTTCCTTCGGTTTCGTTAATTTTCGTTCGCGCAGTGTCGTGTGTGCCTGCCGTGTGTCCTCGTATTCTGTGGAAAGTATGTGAGAATATTCGTGTCATAATCATGAACGCGATTGCTCTCTCTTTCTCACGTTCTGCCTTTCGCTCGTTCGCTCGCTCGCTCAGTCTCACTTGCCGTTAGACGTGAAAATATCATTCCTTTAATTTTAATTCTATCTCTTTTTTTTTTTTT